ACCTGCTCCTGTAGTCAAGGGCGATAGTTGATAAGTCAAGTGGTGCTGCCAAACGCATTGACATAAAATTTTATGTTGTGAAAGACAAAGTCCAGGATCATTCTATTAGTCTACGAGCATATAAGTACAAAGAAAATGCTTGCGGATCCGCTTACAAAAGGATTAACGCCCAATGTGTTCAGAGAACACATTAGCTGGCATGGGTTTACGAGAAAGCCTATGATTCCTGAACAATAAGAGCCTAGTTGAGAATCTATTTCAAAATAGAGAAGTGTATTGTAGCTGTTAATCCAATGGTACTAACTGTTGTGACGAGACACGCTCTATGCACTAATCTATGATGGAATGGGAAAATATAAAGTATTTTAAGATCAAGTTGAAAAGTGAGATCAAGGGGGAGAATGTTAGGTTGATCTCCTCCCGACTCGGTTGAACGACCGAGTCGGGACCTTGATCCGCGCCCTGATGGGGGCGCCCAACCGAGCCATGGTTGGTGGGCCCCCGTCGCACAGCGCTATATAAAAGGAGGTGCGGGGCCGGGACACTCGTTACGAGGTTCACCGTGCCGCCACAAACTCCACCGACAAAACCCTAAACCGATCTAAGAGGTGGCGCTGAAGCGGTGGGAAGCGCCACCACCCGTCATCGACTCCGCGGCGCCACTCATTGGACTCCACTGCTAGGACGCCGCCGTCACTGGACACTGTCACCGTGGCCACCTCCTCCTCCAAGCCCGATGGTCAGCCACTTCTATTCCTCTCTCTCTCTCTAGTTCAAATTCTAGGATGTACTACTTATTTTTCTAAGAACATACCCTCTTGATTTACACCTAGGTGATCCTAAGTTTTAACAATCCGCACCGCCCGCGGCTCCAACTAGACCGCGTCTTCAAATCCTGCGGCCGCCGGACTTGCCGCTGCCGCCTCGGCCATGCCAATGTCGTTTCGGTCCCTCCTCACGAGCGCGCTCCGGTCCTCTCCACCACACCACCGCCCATGCCCCGTCCTTCGTCCTCCACGAACACGCGTCATCGATCCTCCTCTTCCATTGCATGACATCCCCTCTCCACCGCAACGGCGGTTGGACCCCGCCTCCATCTTCAACGCTGACGGGGACGAGCTCCAGCCGCCCGGCGCACCCGCGGCGTTGCTGTGGCTCCTGCACGCACTGGGATGGAATGGGCTTGGCCGCTGTGCGTGGAGTGCAAGGCGATGGGAAGAGGAACAGTTGCAGCAGCGACGGAAACCATCGAGAGACGGAGGGAACAGACAAGCCTCAGTGTCCGTTTTTTTAAGTAACAAATCGATGAATGGGAAGAGAGAACGAGTGGCCATGAAGTGCTAGAATGATCTGCTTTCTGTTTTTAGTTTATTCTGTTAGCTCTACAGCTGTGTCGGCCGTCAAACTATTCTGTTATCTTGACCGATCATTTTGGGAAAATTTTGAATGGGATACGTGCAAATATTAGCGGACGGAGGGTAGCTTCTTCCAAACGATGTCCAGTTTGACCGATGCATACTGTATCCACCATACCTCTATGCATACATACCATAGATAGATAGTTACCACATGTCCTGCTTGCTTCTCATGCGCTCGGCTACAGCCTCCGTGGTTTGTGGGCTGCATGTGTCGGATGCTTGTTGGTGGACGCGTGCCGCACGTCGAAGCTGTGTATGCATGGATGCTGCGTACATCCGGTATGCACCGAATTTTTTTCCATACCTACAGGCTCGACACGTCCACGTCAACACCCACGTGGCCGAACAGAACGAACAGAGGAGCGGCTACTAGCGTGCGTGCGTGACGTGTTGTACGACGACGCACTGCAGTGGCGCGGCGCCACTTGTGCTGCATGATGCGTCCACACGAGTCTCTCCGTCGCGTCAGCGTCACTTTGCATCGCGCGGTGCACGTGTCGACGCGCGGTTGGTGGTGTTAGTGGTGATGACGGGGGATAATTAGAAGGCCGATGCATACAGCATACATAGGGCAACTAGTTAGGATTAAGAAGTACTACAATACTATCTTTTGTTAGCATCGCTCTCTTCGCTTGGATTATAAATCGTACTTTTTCAGTCAACGAACAGTATTTTTCTCTCACAACAAATCAGTCAACGGTACTTTCAGCCATGGCTTATCAGCCAAACAAACAGGGCAAATGACCTCTCGTTGACTAACTGACTGACTGACTGACCATCACCCTGACGCGCTTGCATTCTGCATTTTCTACCTCGATCAGAAATTCAGAACAGACTATTTTCATGGGTGTTTTTACTACCGTTTCATTTAGAATTGATGCGCGTAGAAAGTCCAGGTTCACTGGAATACGGGCCGGCGTGACACTGATGTATAAATACGGCCGGCGTCGCTGTCTCGGCTCGCCATACTGGTCATACATACGTATACATGTACCTGTCCCGGGAGGTGACCTTTTCTGCGCGTAGGATACGGATTTTGAATTTTGAATTTGAATGGCGTGCGAGTGTGTGTGTAAGCTGTGTAAAATACGTCAACCTGTCTATTTCTCAAAAAAAAAAAACTGTAGTACGACCAGTCTTTCGGATCCGTCGCCACGTACCGAGAGACTTCAGGAGCCACCCCACACGTGCTCGTCACTGAAACACAAGTGAAAAAAAAAAAACACGGAGCAGTTTTGGTGGCTTAGTTCCCTAAAAAAAATTGGTGGTTTAGGTTTTTATTTTTTTTTTTTTTTGCAGGTGCTTTTACCCTTCTTTGTGAAAAGAATTCTTTGGAGATGTTGCTTCGGCGTAGAGAGGAGTTTCGGTGTCCTTTCTTCACAGTTGCTGTTTCTCGGCAGAAAGGAAGAAAACAGAGGACTGATCAGATGGGAAAGAAAAACAGAGCAATCTCTGGACTGAACAATGGATTTTTTTTCCTTCTCTCTGGTTTTTTTGTTTCCTGTGAAATCGAACAAGTTCCTATAAAATTGTTGTATAATCTCTGTGAAATTCTCGAGTTTCAAACATGCCCTCATTCATAAAGTTAAAAAAACATATCAAAATCGTTGGCTTAAAATTCCTGTACAATATTCGTCACACGGCACTGAGAGATAGCACCAGTAGCAGGAGTCCCGGTGGTGCGGCTGCTAGTTGCTACGTCAATAATTCCGATTGCTCCAATTAAGCAGCTAACACATCCATGACGATGGCTGTCACTGTTGTTGCCGCTGCCGCTGATGCATCGTCATCTCGGCAAATCAATCACCAAGTACACACGATCGTGCACTAACAACGCAGCTAAGTGGCGTGCCATCTTCGTCCTCATCTTCATCTTCATCTACTCCCGGCCTTTCCACGCATACATAGAACCTTGCACGCCTAGCTTTTCGCTAGCGGCGACCTCCATCAAGTACACATGGTGCCTCCCGTTTAACCAAACCGCCCTCTTTCGGCAGGCAGCTGATGATGGATGGCAACAAGTCCTCTCTAGCTACTCTCTACCACCGCTTTGCGCTCCGCAAAACATGGAGCGACGAGACGCCCTTTCACCCATGGCAGCTACCGACACAACTTCCAAGGGCGTGTCACAAATTCATTCACAAACGAGACGTGTGGGAGTGACGCACTCTAGGTCAAAGTGTCAACAACTCACATTGTTCGCATGGGCGGGTGCTAGCTCGCTCACAACAGGGCAAATAAAGCCACTGCCATCACTAGGAAGTTGTCCATGTGTGTGTGTAGTGTTGGGTAGTGATGGGTGATTGGGATGTTTTTAAGCATGCATGGAATTGAATGGAAGCTATTGGATGGATGATGGGCACACCAATAGGCCAAGGGGGATGGGGTGATGTTGTTATGCAGAAGATAAGGTTCTTGGTATTGAAATTTATCGCTCATAGAGAGCTGATAGCTCGGAAGGTCGTGGCCGCAGACGACGCCGAATCTGGAACTACATCAGTTAGTTGTTGAAATTAATGGAGCCTGCTACTTGCGTGTGACCCCATTTTTGGGGGTTTGTCTGGATCTACACCGTCGGAGGATTAACCCTGTGGTTCAGGGAGTGTTCGGCTCTCTTATCAGTCAAAGCTTTTTCCAGGTCCCAATTCCAGGTCAAGCTTTTTTCCACATTGGAGCTGAGGAGCGTATCTATTGATAGAACAGGGTTAGATGCGATGATCTGAAGAACATGCAGAGGATACACAGCATCTCGTGGCCCAAATCTCGTTGTCTATACTGCGCAAACTAAGAAACGTGTGCAAACATGGATGGGATCATGCAGACTTGCTGCTTGATTTCCATGTGAGGCAGAAAAGAGTCCATTTATTGTTTCACGGCACACACGCAAATACTCATATATGCACGCCCACTCACCCCTAGACATACACACACCATCCTTATGATCATCTTCGAGAGAATGAGGCCCTATGAACATGTACACACACAATCTCTATGAGTACCTCAATGAGATTGATTTGAGATTGACGAGGTCACCGTAGTTGTCTTGCGGTCGACATGCACGTCACACTAAAAGTAATAACGACATTACATCCTGAAATAAATCAAAAAATGCGAGCACCGACATTAAATCGAGGACTTGAGCCTAAATGGACGGGTTACACCACATGTAACCCAACCAAGCCGAGCTACTGTCAGTTCGCATTGTTTCATGTAATTCTTGTACATGCACAACTATTATCGACGCAAACAATGCACCACATGTTTTTTGAACTTGAAAACTGATGGGGTTGCGAGTGAGAGTGACCCCACCAGCCCATCTGACACGTACTCCTCGATCACCCCAACAGTTTGTGAGCTCCCTCTGACCACCGGTCTTCTTCCTCCCCTCCTCTCTTTCTTTTTCCTTTTTCCTCCTCCTCCTCTTCCCCACCAGCCCGCTGGCTGAAACCCTATAAAAGGCGTCCGAGTCCCACTCCCCGTCTTCCCCAACTCCGTCTCTCGCTTTTCCTTCGACAACCTCCTTCGGTCGATCTCCTACTCCACTACTCAACTCCTACTTTCTTGGCGTACATAATAATGGAGATGGTGCTGCAGCAGAGTAGTGCCGCCGCCGGCGCAGGCATGTTCCCAGGCGTGGCGGCGTGCCGGCCAGGCCCGAGGCCGGCAGCTACGGCGCCGATGATGGCGAAGCAGGAGCGGGAGGCTGATGATGAACACGAGGAGGAGCAGCGGCAGGCGGCTAACGCGGAGGAACTCCGGCGCGGGCCGTGGACGGTGGACGAGGACCTCACGCTCATCAACTACATCGCCGACCACGGCGAGGGCCGCTGGAACGCGCTCGCGCGCGCCGCCGGTACGTTCGTCGTCGCCGATCGCCGTTCCCGTCATGGCTTCTAGTAGCTTTTCCGCATGCATGGCCGTGTGCTTCCTTTCTCTGCTTCGTGTTCCTTCTTCGACTTCTAGCTTGAAAAGAAAAGGAAGAGGCCGGATGATGGATCGCGATTAAGTTCGTGGATTGTTTGCGTCGTCCTGCAAGTTGCCAACTTGTTGACGATTATTAGAGGACTCTAGTCGTCGCGGTCGCCGCCGCCGCCGCCCCGTGCCCTGTTTGATAAACTATATGAACATGGAATTCGAATAATAAAATTCTCAGCGCATGCAGATGCAGGCCGTCTCTATCGTGCGTCTGAGCGTCTCCGTTGTGCTGACGGCTGACGCCACCGGAGATGGATGGATGGATGGATGTACATATAGATAGATAGAGTAAAGTAATCATTGCCGCCACCCATATGCTTCCACCGCTAATATATATATATTCGCATGCATGACATAAGCAATGTGCAGAATTCAAATCAAATAAATATGGGACCCAATAAATATATTTGCATATATTGTTTGCGGTTCTTATTACAAGTTTACTTTGAAATTTTTTTGTGAAAGGTTTACTTGAATTTTAGGCGTATGCAATGTCTCTCTTAAATATCTGAGGCAATACAATACAATTGAATGATACATATGCATGCACGCAGGGCTGAAGCGGACGGGGAAGAGCTGCCGCCTGCGGTGGCTCAACTACCTGCGGCCGGACGTGAAGCGCGGCGACTTCACCGCCGACGAGCAGCTCCTCATCCTCGACCTCCACTCCCGCTGGGGCAACCGGTAATAATCATCTTCTATATTATCCACAACCAGTCCACCTTCACCTGCTTAATTTAATTACTTACTTTCTATACTAGTTTATCATCTCCTACTCCGTAATTACTTAGGTACGTTATTACAAATTCAATTAACATTAATAAATTAGTTTAACTCTGGCCAAACGTAGATCGAATTCCATCAAATATATTCTGAAACAAAAGATGGTATTATTGCAGTACTTCTTAATCCTAACTAGTTGACCTATGTATGCTGTATGCATCGGCCTTCTAATTATCCCCCGTCATCACCACTAACACCACCAACCGCGCGTGGACACGTGCACTGCGCGATGCAAAGTGACGCTGACGCGACGGAGAGACTCGTGTGGACGCGTCATGCAGCACAAGTGGCGCCGCGCCGCTGCAGTGCGTCGTCGTACAACACGTCACGCACGCACGCGAGTAGCCGCTCTTCTGTTCGGTTCGGCCACGTGGGTGTTGACGTGGACGTGTCGAGCCTGTAGGTACGGAAAAAAATTCGGTGCATACGGGATGTACACAACATCCATGTATACACAGCTTCGATGTGTCCACAAACAAGCATCCGACGCATGCAGCCCACAAACCATGGAGGTCGGAGCCGAGCGCACGAGAGGCAAGCAGGTGCACGCGCGCTGTGGGATCGGTCAAACTGGACATGTGGTAACTATCTATCCATGGCATGTATGCATGGAGGTACAGTGTGTGCCTGACGCACAGGGCAACTGTATGTGTACGTACACGTACTAACGTATCGTATCAGCTTTGCTCTCGAAAAAAGGCTTACACTCGCTTTCAAATTAAAAAAAAACTAAAAATGCTATCATCATCTGTCTATGCCTGTTGAGTGAGCTGACAGACCATGGTGTAGTTTATTTAAAAAACTAAAAATGCTATCATCATCTAAAAACGCTTCTTCTTTTGTTTTCCTTTGTTTTTTTCTTATGTTCCAAATTAGTAGTTTATTTAGGTAATAATCATTAATAAAATAAAAGCCATGACGATTGTATAGCATATTAGGCACGTTCTGATTTGATATATCATCATTGTTAATAAACAAAAATAATAATACATTAATAATAATGATAATAATTAACATATATATTGGTTCGGTTGCATGCATGCAGGTGGTCCAAGATCGCGGCGCACCTGCCAGGTCGGACGGACAACGAGATCAAGAACTACTGGCGGACGCGGGTGCAGAAGCACGCCAAGCAGCTCAACTGCGACGTCAACAGCAAGGGCTTCAAGGACGCCATGCGCTTCCTCTGGATGCCCCGCCTCGCCGAGCGCGCCGCCGCCCAGGCCCAGCACCACCACCAGCTGCCGTCGCCGTTGACCCCCTGCATCATGGGCATGGCCACGGCGCCACCCTCCTCCTCCGCGCTGATGATGATGGACGCAACCAGCAACAGCAACAGCAGCAGCTGCTCCCCCAGCAGCGCCGTCACCAGCAGCTCCTCCTGCAGCTCACTCACGTCCGAGTCCGCGCATGACGACAGCACCCGGCCGCACGCCGCCGCTGCCGCGGAGCCGCCAGCCGCGTTCACCACAGCTGACGACGGCTACTGGGGAGCCGCCACGACGACGATGCCGCAGCAGCAGAACGACCACTACGACTTCTGGGCGTCCGCGCTGCAGCATCTCACCACCGGCGACCACCACTTCCAGCAGCAGGCCACGGACCAGGACCTCACCGGCTGGGTGCTGGGCTTCTCCGACGGCGGCATCTTGTCCGGCTCCTCGTCGGAGGACAACCTCTGGAGCCTCGACGACATCTGGAGTATGCAGTGATAAACAACGGGAGTTGTTGTTGTTTACGTCATTTTTGCGTGCATTGAGATCAAATCAAATGGTCAGCCACATACGTATTCAAATTCAAATTGGGGTACGGTACGGTGTAATTGATAGGACGTACGAGTACGATACAGGGGAGGCGATCCAATTGGCCCTGCTAGCTCCCAGGATATCCACGTCGCCGTCAACGCTAATAAACAAAGCTTGCTTTGCAAACCCCGATACCTAAAGCGAGCCGCATGCAGTTCATCATGCACCGGCCATCAGCCGTCCGGCGGCGGCGGCAGCCACGTACAGGATGGCACGGAGGCGAGAAGACGCACGTGCTGGAAGCGCCCCGTCCACGTCATCCAGCTGGGAGCTGGGGAGGGAGTCCACAGGTGGTTCACTTCTACACGGCGACACGTGGATGGGAAGAGACGACGACGCAACGCGACGGCCGGCCACGTCATGGCACGCCGGGCCGGTCCGCCTTGCCGTCCACGTCAGGGCTATGCGACCGGCGACTAGTCGTCGTCAGACCTATCTACCACCATGCACTTGGTAGCTATCTAGTCCATATTAGCTAGACACACGACGACTATCCTCCTGCGCGTCCAACAGTCCATCAGTGCGTGATTAGCTGCGCTAATCATCGCTCGCCGGCCGGTCCCTCCTCGTCCGTCGTCTGCGGCGGCGGCGGCGGCATCGTCGCTGTTGCCACCGTCGTCGTCGTCGTGGGTGGTACGTATAAATACGTACGTCCGGGGGAAGGGGCGGCGAGGACCGAATCCACGGGCGGACCGACCTCTCGGCAAGCGAATTTGTTTTTTTTTTCTCCACGGAGTTTGGAATTTGGGCGCTGTGGTGCATGCGGCTTGGCTTGCCCACGCCTGCGACGGCCCACGAGTTTAGTTTCTTGGGTGTGTACGTGAGCCAGAGTTCAATTTTACTTGCTCCGTATATTGGTACGTATCAACGAATTGCCATCCCAAGTACATGCAGGTGGAGTGGAGAGGCTACATGTACGGGCTACGATTACTGTAGCATACTAGAGTACAACAGAATTTGTATTGGTCCCTTGGCCGTGCGCTTAGACCGGTAACGTTTAACAGAAGCAGTCAAAATAAATGAAGCCTATGTTTGGATCCACCAGCTAAACTTTAGCTGGTTATAAATTTAACTATGGTGGATCTAAACAGGCCACAGCTAATGGGAACTAGCTAATCACGATAGCAGTTCCAACCCAGCTAATGGCAGCTAAAACTGCCTATTTACCAAACTCCCCATCAATTATTTCCCCACCGCATTCACATCGCACCCGCTCTCTCACACACCGAGAGCGAAAAAATGGCCGCGCAGCTCCTACTCCTTCCCCGGCCGTTGGCGCTTCCTCCCCCACCTCCGGCCGCCGATGCTCCTTTCCCCACCCTTGCTGCCGGCACTTCGTCCCCCACCCCCTTCTTCCCTCCCTCGCCGACGCACTGGTGGCCGGCGCCGCGACAAAGTGGAAGGCCTCGGGGCCTTCGAACACCTCGATGTCGGTGTCCATTGGGAGCGGTAGACGTCGGAGGTCCTTCTTGCCGCCGCCGCCATCGACAATGGGAGCTGCTAGGTGGATCCTTCACCATGAGGCCGTGAGCTCCTCCCATCGCCGGCGAGGCTGCCGGCTGTGAGTAGGCCGCACCCGCCTGCGAGCTGCTCCGCTCGTGCCTGCCCGTGTGAGGCCGTGAGCTCCTCTGCCCGTCGGGGAAGGAGATGCGGTCACCGGGGCCTAGGGAAGAGATGTGTTCGACAGGTCGTCCTGGGGAAGGAGATGTTGTCACGCAGGAGCGGGCGCCAAGGAGGAAGAAAGGGGGCAACAGAATCAATATTTAACCATTAGCTAGAGGATCCAAACAGCCCCAACTAAACTTTAGCTGGTTAAATTAGCTGGCTAAACTTTAGGTAGAGTGAATCCAAACAGGGCCTAATAGAGGCGAGCATTCCACTCGCCTCTGGTTCAACTGCTTGATGTATGTGTTAATTTCAATTCTTTTTTAAAAAAAAAGTGTTAATCTCAATTTTGAGAGGCAATGGTATACGTCTAGCTCTGTTAATCCAAACAAAACAAAACAAAAAAATAGCCCAAGGCATCCGACCGGGACACCTAGGGCCTCGATCTGGGTTGGCAGGGCATCACTGCAGTGTGAATCCATGCCCCGCAACCACAACCGCCATGCCACGCTCTGCGTGGTCCCCGCTGCCATGACGTACTCTACACCCCCGCCATCACGCAGTTTTCTGTCCCCACCATAGCCTCACTTTTGCACAATAACACCTTTGCTGCCGGATCCATCTCCTTATGAGGAGACCAGAACGGATCTATAGAGAAGGGAGAGAGAGAGAGAGAGAGAGAGAGAGGGATGAGAGCAGAGCACGGTGGCGAACCGGAACCAGAATGCATGTGTATATATAGTTGAGTGAGTACGTAGTAGCTGAAACCTACATTATGGATGGTCGTTGCCGCACTTGATCCCGCCCTGCACGGAGGAGATCGACCGTTGCCACGCATCTTCCTTGAAGGACCCAGCCGTGGTCACCTGATGCCATGCCCTCCTTGATGGATCCGATCGTAGCCGTCTGATTTCACTACTCCGCCACTATGTGGCTGTCGCCGCTCGAGATCCCCGAAGTCACGGCTCCTGATCTACTCCGTGGCTCTCCTACTCTGGCCGGAGGAGAGGATGATTCAATTTCTATGGACGGATCGGAGTCCACTCAGTGGAAGTAAGGAGAGTACCAGAGCGAAGACCGAATAGAGGGCAACGGCTAGGCTTGGTGACCGAGAGGGAGACACTACTAAGGATGGCCTTAGTTGTCCCGGGCGGTAACGGCCTTTAGTCTCGGTTACCGTGTCAGGACAACGATCCCAGGACTAAAGGTGGAACTTTCAGTACTGGGTCATCGAGCCGGGACTAAAGAGGGACCTTTAGTCCCGGTTGGTCCTACAGCCGAGTAAACGTGGCCGCACCCTTTAGTCCCGGTTGGTAACCCTAACCGGGACTAAATGTTCCTTTTCTTTTTCTTTTTTTTGTTTAATTTGTTTTCAGTTCAGTTACACATATTTGTTTAATATATAATATGTTTTTATGTACGTATTCTACGCTGCTAATATAAATACACGCACGCATATAATTACATCTAAGTCTCATCTCGAGCATTATTATATTCGAATAAAGTATGAAACTATATATATTATAGATATATATGTATATATACAACACTTTCATAATCTTGTTCTCGAAAATAACGATATCAATAAACATTTAATTTACATCATTTATTCCTTAGGATCAAAGTAGAACTCGTCGTTGGGATTTAGCACTTTTTCTAGAAGAAATCCTACTATTGACTCTTGAACTGCTTTCAGATGGTCTTTTTGCATGACCCTTTGTTTCAACCATTCAGTCTTCCATTTGAAATAAAAGGAAAAGTATTAATACATATATATATATATATATTCATTTAAAAATAAATAAAAAATTGATATATACGTACTCTGAGGACATCTTCAGGAGTTCTTCTTATGTGCGCAGTGATAAATTCACAAACGTAGTATCCACACAAGTTATTACCTGGTTGCTGCCGCAAACACCACTGTACAAGAAGAAGATTATTCTCATCATCTCACACGTAAATTGAAGTACAATATAGTAATTAAACACGTAGGGAAGTATATATAGTACAATTTACTGGTATTTCAACTACATTAAGTGGTGCCTTACAATCCTTGCGGTGTTGCCAAATAAACTCTTTCCAAACCCTGTGCGACCAATAATGTACGGTCGTTAATAAATTATGGCAAAGTCTATTCAATAATAGTTGTGCGCGAGAGATCGAAATTACCCCTGAATAATGTCTATCATATCTTGGTATAGTGCCCGCTCTTTTTTCAACGAGTCAAAGATTACTAACCGACTTGAGTTTAACTCAATGACAATGAGTATCCAGTGAAAACTGCATTGGTTTATACACACACGTACATGCATATAAGTTGTATTGATATTACATAAAATGTGTAGACTACATTATTATTAACACTTACTCAAAGTTGTACGGGAAAAGTATTGTTGTCTTGTCGTGCTGCTTCACGAAAAACATCATGATATTCTCCTGTGCTTCAGATACCCACCGCTCCTTGGTAATAATACCAGTTTTGAATACGATATAAGGATCAATGAAGCCAACACTGGTGTCTTGTATTATTTGGAGCTCTGACATCTGGAATCTGTACATAAATATAAGTTACATGTGAGGATAATTATATACACGTACGCATGGAAGTGAGTTTATTAAATAAAAGTAAGAATCACTTACAAACAAAAGGAGCTAATGATTGATTTGTCCAGAGCGTCCATGTGGTATAGTTGATGCAATTCTTCGAAACTAATATGTAAGATGTCATCGCCACGGAAGTAATGATGGTCTCTAAATCTGACAAAGATCCACTCCTCACCCCTGTCACACGCCTGCATGTACCACTTGTTGAGCAAGTACATTTGCGTACCCAATTCATTCAGAGCGGCAGGGTTGTACAGACTTTTGCCAAATTTATAAGTCTTCCAGGTATCAACTTCTAGGTTCTGGATTGGAGCTTTGCCCATCAATTGATCCAAGGTTAAACCAGTTAGTTCAAAAAAAGCATTAAGGTCTTGAACCGACACTTCTCCAGAGTTGTCTGGTCGATAGACTTCTATGTTGGAACCATATTCATTAGCAACAATAAGATTTTGCATTGGTTGCTTCTGTTGTCCGAGTTGTGGGACATCCTTCCCTGATGCTCTTTTCCTTTTCTTATGTGCATCATGTGACTTCACGAGGGAGCGGTCATAGTCTGATAGTGGCGGAGGCTTACGAACTTCAAGCATCTTTTTCTTGTGAGCTTCGACCTTCTGCCTCAGCAGATCTCGTAGTATGTAAAAGTACGGCTTGTCCTTAAGCTTCGCTTGTCTCTGCTTTTGGATA